TTAGAAAAAGTCATACCGCAGCCAACAAGCTGCCACCACACATAAATAGGTGCGGTGTGAAAACACTGTTTTCAGCGTTTTGAAAACGCATAAGCTGCCAAAATGCAATTTACCCAAATAGACAAGGTGCGTTCAAAACGCCACCACACCAAATAAGCTGCCCCAAACGAGCCCTTAGAATGGAGATGGCCAGAGAAAAGTAGAACGGAAAGGAGACCAAACGAACGAGAGCTACCAGAGTGAAGAATTGACCAACGGAGGGAGGAGAAGCAAGAATGAAGTGAGTGTGTTTTCCTTAGAGGTGAAGAGTGGTCTAATGTAAGAAGTAGAGGAGGTGATGGCAGAAGAGACGCGTTGATTAGGCTTTGAAATCGAGCGAGAAAAATTAGATCAGTGGCAATGTATTCACACCACCCATTGTCATAATTGTCATGCCTGCTCGGGTGGAGTGGTGTGGTTACACCACCAATAGGTGTGATCGTCGGAGGATGGCGTGGTTATGCCATGAGGCGTGACCGCATCGTTAAAGGGGCCTTGGCATACCCACGTAACTACTGCCATGATTACGCCTAGGTGTGGTGTGATTATACATAGGTGTGGCATCATCACACCAAAGGGTGGCATGGTTACGTCAGACTGGGCAAGGGTTTTGAGGTTTTTTTGGCTTGTTTTGAGCTCGATAATCTCACCATCACCGAATGTACTCTCACGGAGGATGAGTGAAGTTTTCTTCAAGAAATGGTTGACTAAAATTAAGATTAGCACTTACGACGTCTGTATTCGGAATATAACATTTTTTTTCGAACTCACGAAGTCTTCTATACATTGAAGTATTGTATCTGGTGTAAAATTATAACATTACTCTCCCAGTTATGAGAAAATAGTGTACATTTGTATTTTCTCACTTATAGTGGACTACTTTGATATGGCTAGGCCCCATTATTTCTTTCCTTTTTGGGTTCTTTCATAAAAAAGTTTGTCGTCTTCTCCCGTCATATTTTTGTTATCTATCTATGTTGGATCTTCGTATAATGTTAAAACATTAAAAAATCACTCTATAGCAATAAATTTTCTGGTACACAACAACAATAAAGCATTATTAAAAAATTAATATTTTATAAAGAAAATTTGGATACATAACTACAAACAATGAAAACATGTTTAGATTCTTAATTTTACATTGGATCTTTGAGATGAATAGCCATCATTAAAATTATTAATCTGCAAATAAATTTTATTGGTTAAGCTTTCAAAATATTCAAAAGCAAGAATTAAAAATTCAATTAGAACAATTTTAGAATTTCTCTACATTTATTTATTTTTGTCTAATATAAGGTCAATAATAAAATGAAGATTATCAAGACAATATTATAAAATTAAATAGAAAAATTTTTGATTGTTAGATCAATAATAATATATGTTAAATAAATACTATAATGAAATTTGATGTATAATTAATTATTAATGATTTTGATATAAGGTCGAGAAAAATTAGACACAATTTAAGATAATCATCATAATTAGTAGATTAAAAGAAATATTCTTTAACTTATGAATTATTTCTAGCTTTTTTTTTATTTTCTCTTATTTATTTACATTTACTTATTTATTTAAAATAATAACAATAAAAATTTAGTTTTGTCAGTGTCCATAAGCATTGACAAAAAGCATCGTCTTTTCAACTTTGTTAAATTTATTGAAATTCTTTGAAGTTTTGGCTTCTAAGAAAATAAATTTGGGATGAGTTTAAACCTTGTTTAATATTTTTCCTTTTTTAGTTTTGATTAAAATTAGTTAATTGGCTCTCATATTTATAATTTTTCTAATTTAAGTCTTCGACACTCGTATAACTATTTTTATCTTTATTATCAAATAATACCCAAAAAAAAATATTAGGAATGATATTGAATTCAATTCATGAGACAAATTGTCAAATGAAGCTTTTTCACTTTTCCCTTTCCTCTTTCATTTCATTTTAATTTATAAAAAGATAATATAAGAAAATCATTGAATATTAATTATTAAATGATTTTTTTTTTTTGAGAATTTATAGAATTTTAACCACAAGTTTGCTTCATATTTATGCATAAAAATGTGTATTTTATTTTTTTTTAAGTTAAAATAATTATTATTATTATGTAATATGAAGATTTTAGTGGTATAAATAAATAAAAAATTAATTTAGATATATAAATACGTTGAAATTATGTTGTATGTATGAATATTAATCATTAAAAGGTTGGAGAGTTAAAAAGACAGTTGATGACCGATGAGATAGAGAGCCAGCATTAATCCTTCTCTTTAAAACCCCCGGCGACCTTCCAAATTCACCCCGTCCAAGTCTGTATCAACCATCTCATCTCCTCCTTTCATTTACCTCTCGATAGCCATCATCTAATCTCTTTCATTTACTCTCCTCCCCTCCTGAAAGTCCTTTTCCTCTTCACCTTCTCCTTCCTTCTCCATGGCACCAGGCGCCACTCTTGAAGACAACAGCAGCAGCAACAACAACAACAACCCCACAACCAGTTTCCCACAATATCTTTCCGACCTCGACCTCAGCTTCACCAGCAGCTCCGCCTCTACTTCCTCTTCCGCCACCACATTCGGCGGTGGCCCATCTAGCGCTCGCAGCAGCCTCAGCCTCACCCTCCCCCCCTCCTCCCCCTCCCCCCCCCCCAACCCCCTCCCCCCCCCCTCCAACCTCTCCCCCGACTCCTCCCTCCACCTCCGTCACCTCAAACTCCTCCGCCACATCGGCTCCGGAAACCTCGCTCGCGTCTTCCACTGCCGCCTCCACGGCTTTGACCACCTCGATTTTGCTCTCAAAGTCGTCGACCTCGACGCCGCCGTTAGCACTCTCTCCCATGTTCGCGCAGAAGCTCGCGTTCTTGCCTGCCTTGACCACCCTTTCCTTCCCACACTATACGCCAGACTAGACGCCTCCCACTACGCCTGCTTCCTCATTGATTACTGCCCCGGCGGCGACCTTCATTCCCTTCTCCGCCACTGCCCTGTTCATCGCCTTCCTCTTCCCGCCGTCAAATTCTACGCCGCCGAGGTCCTCCTCGCACTCGAATACCTCCACGCACTCGGCTTCGTTTACCGTGACCTGAAACCTGAGAACGTGCTCCTTCGCGCCGATGGCCACGTCATGCTCTCCGACTTCGACCTCTGTTTCTACTCTGACGTCTCCCCTGTTCTCCACCTCCGGAATCGCGGCAGATCCGGCGTTGAGCTGGAATTCGTCGCAGAACCAGAGTCGGCCTTCTCCCGAGCATGCGTGGGGACACACGAATACCTCCCCCCAGAGATCGTCGGCGGTGCCGGCCATGGTAACGGCGTTGACTGGTGGGCATTCGGGGTTTTCATCTACGAGCTTATCTACGGCCGGACGCCGTTCAAGGGAGGCAGCAAAGAAGCTACTTTGAAAAACATTCTCACAAGGGAGGTGAGATTTCCCGACGGTGGGAGCGATGAACGGCGTGCGGCGGTGGCTGCGAGGGATTTGATTTCGCGGTTGTTGGAACGTGATCCGCGGCGGAGGATAGGGAGCGTGAAGGGGGCGACGGAGATCAAGCAGCATCCTTTCTTTGATGGTGTAAGTTGGGCGCTTATTCGCATGATGAAGCCACCGGTGGTGGCGGGTCACGGCGGCGCCACCGTAAGGAAGAAATTTTCGAGGGAGGGAAAGCGATGGTGGACGTGGAAGTGGAGCTGTTGTAACAGTAAAAGCAATGATAGGAGCGTCGTTTACTGGAAGATGATTAAGGATATGAAAGCGAAACAGTGATCACTCTTCTCTAGCTATTACGTTCGCCAACACTGTTGAGAGCAATCTTTGTGCAGACTAGTGCTTGTAATTTTTTATTTTTATTTTTATTATTTGTGGTACTAGATGAAAAATTTTATGAATTTATCATCGCTTAATTATGAATTTCATAAGAAGCTAAGAGGTTTAAGAAAACAAAGACCAATTTCATTAAGCGCACATTATTCTAATGAAAATTACCGGGTCACCCATTATTTAATAGATCATGTTTCTACTCATTTGAGGAAGATTTCTAATGCATAAAATTTATGAACAAAAGAATATTCTACATCTAAAGTGAATTATTTATCAGTATGTGCACATACAAAACTTTAATATAAATACTATTATGATTATAATTTATCCTTGTAGTATCACAGATGTTCTATCATGAAATACTTTAATTAAAATTTAGGCCATGATACTCTCATGCGAACCTTTTTTGCTTCCAGTAGAGTTGATTAATCATTGAATTAGGATGCTTGCTATTTGATTATTGAAAATACATATATTTACGCATATCTATATATATATATATATATATATATATATATAAACAACTGACAAGAATTAAAATTTATGATGAAAGAGGAACATATTTCTCCAACGAAAATAATTAATGAACACCATAAACAGCATAGGAATCATGGAAATGTTGGGCATATAAAGACAAAAGTACTTAGAGAAGAAAGAGAAAAAAATGGCAGAGAAAGAAAGGGAGGGAAGAACTATAAAGAGAAGGTCCAAAATTTTTATTGCTAGAAGGAAAAGAAAACAGAGAGTGTGTTGCTAATTGATTGGCCACACATGACGAAGATAAAAAATATGTATGAGACTCCATTAGAGCATTTGCATACATACCTCCCAATTCCTATGGATTTACATATGTGACACTTACACTTTATTTTTCAGATTCATACCACTCAATTGTATCATATCACATAAAAATACCATTATTTAAATGCATATGGTGGCATGTATGCAAAATTTAAAATTTAAATGTTAAGCTTAACATAACCTGGTTCTGTCTCTGCATATTGAGATCTCATTTAGATAGATTTGATTTAGGTATATATATATATATATACTTTTTAAAAAATTAACAATTTATAGAAATAATTGTCCTTATCCAATACAATTTATGAAAAACATTACAAAAAAAGGATCTAGAAAGATAACCTGAAAGGAATCCTGTAAATAATGGCCACGAAATAGACTCATCAATGATCCAAATTATTAATAATTCTAATGGGGGCATCATTGAGAAGAATATAGCAATGCTGTTTAATAATAATTGTATTTACAAAAGTTGCTTGAACCACACACATACCGCAGCAGCTTGTGACGTGATGTAAGTGAATCTATAAGACTCTAACTAGAGTGCTCCCATTACTTGGCAATAAGAATATTTGTTTTTCATTATTTTTTGTCCAAAATTTAGAATGCACGACGAAGGTTGCTGATTATTTACAAGTGACATCCATTACATATTATATATATA